GTAGTTGAGATTACAGGCACACACCTTCACATTCAGCTTAATGTTAATATCTTATTTTTTTAAAAAATTGCTAATCTTGGGGTTCGAGATGTAGGTAGAGTCCTGCCTAGCACCTATAAAACCCTGGGTTCCATCCCTGGCATAACATAAAACCAGGCATGGTGGCACCCATCTGCAGAGGCAGGAGGATCAGAAATACAAGATCATGCTCAGCTATACAGTGAGGTAGAAGCCAGCCCTGAACTAAAAAAGAGAAAGAGACAGCAAATATCTAACCTCTATAATGTGAACTATAAAATTTGGAAAGCGTGGTGTGAACTCTGACGTTGGGAAAGTGTGAACTATTAAATGTGAAAGTTACCAGCAGGTGTGGGTTGACAGTTCCCGATGAAGGAGCTTTACCAGGCTTTCAGTGAAAACCCTCCAGCACACCGAACAAAATAACCAAAGATGTGAACAGGGTGCTCCACAGGGGGAATAAAGATGGTTAATTGACTATGAAACGTAATTAGTCTCATTACCCAAAGCATTGCAGATTAGACCCAGGAAGACCGTTTCCCTTGATCATAATAGCAAGGTATGTTTTTAAAGCATGCTGCTGCTGTTCAGTAGATTTATAAAGCAACAATCTTCTGGAGAGCAGCTTGCAATCCATGTGAGGGCATGTGTATTTGTTTATGACTCGTGTTTTCCCTTTGTAACTAACTGTCTTATGTTCTATTTGTTATTGATTAGTCTTAATTTTTCTTTATACTATTGTCTTAAGCATTTTCATTTTCTATTTTTTTTTCCTTTGAGACAGGGTTTCTCTGTGTAGTTTTGGTGCCTGTCTTGGATCTCGCTCTGTAGACCAGGCTGGCCTTGAACTCACAGGGATTCGCCTGGCTTTGCCTCCTGAGTGCTAGGATCAAAGGTGTGTACCACCACTGCCCGGCTCATTTTCTTTATCTTATTTATAGACTCTTGCATAATACATTGTTTGCCTTATTTTCTTTAGAAGATTTATTTTTCTTGTTTGCTTTTGCTTTTCTGAGACAAGAGTTTTTTTGTATAGCCTTGGCTGGCCTGGAACTCATTCTGTAGACCAGACTGGCCTCAAATTCACAAAGATCCACCTGCTTCTGCCTCCCAAGTGCTGGGATTTAAAGGTGTGCACCACCACCGCCCGGCTTTTTTTTTTTTTTTTTTTTTAATATTCAGTGGTCTATCTTTTATGCAGTTTCTGCCCTGCCCCTTGTCCCTGTCCCTGTCTTCTATGCTCCCTAGGTTTCAAAAGATACCTTCGTCTAAGAGGTTACATAGATATTATCTCCGATTAGTTCTGATTTTTCTGGTGAAGATAAAAATTTTGAGTCTTAGGTGAGTCTTTTTTTGTTTTTCCTAAGCTATTAAGTGAGGGAGCTGATGAACACTTCCCTTCCCTGGTTTATTTGTGAGGCTTCCATTAGCATTGTTCAATTATGACATGTTTTCTTCTGTGCAAAACCTTCTGCATTTAACATTTTCCTTTCATGATGTTTCTCCTTTGGCCTCTCTTAATCAATGCGACTTCTGAAGTGACTGTTACCCTGCATTATTTTTCAGATCATTCTGTTTACTCGGTGAGAGATGGGATTTGAGTAGAAAACAAAGCAGACATTCTATTAAAATTTTTCTCTAAAAAAAGGCATCATGGAGCTGGGTAGTGGAGACTCAGACCTTTAATCCCAGCTCTTGGGAGGCAGAGGGAGGTGGATCTCTTTCGAGGTCAGCCTGGTCTACAGAGTGAGTTCCAGGACAGCCAGGGCTGCATAGAAAAACCGTGTCTCGAAAACTAACAAACAAAAGACAACACAGACTGGGAAAGTGGCTCAGTGAATGGTTAAGAGCCTTTGCTGCTCATTCAGACACCCAGGTGGGGTGGATCACAACCATCTGTAACTCCGGCTTCAGTGGATCTGACCCCCACTACTGACTGCTCTCCCTGGGCACCTGCACATCTGTGCATGTACATACACAAAGACACACACACATATGCAGACCTTGGGAGTCAAATAAAATCTCTTTTTAAAAAGCAACATCGTTTAATATCTTTTCTTGTGACCAACGAACATCCCGTCTGTCTTCACATACAAACCTAAAAATATCTAAAAACAGACATAAAAAGGTGTTAATAAAACCTCGGGTTAAGCGGTCTCAGTGGCATTGCGTGAGGCTCTGGCTGGAGGAGCAGCCGCTTAGGGCAGCGAGAGGCTTCGTGGAGCCCGTGACATCTGACTGGGACTTGGAACAAAAGTAGAGATTCTGTGGGACAGTGGCTTGAGAAGCGCTTCAGTTACTATGTGAGGAATAATCGTGATTATTATATGGTCATTTCCACGTGACTTGTGTTTTTTTTTTTTTTTTTTGCTATTAGGAATAGGACCTTTAAAAGCCACATCCTTCCACTGGGAATATGGCACAGTGGTAGAGCACCTGCCTAGCCAGCCCAAGGCCCCAGGTTCAGCTCCCAGTGCCACATAAAAGACAAACAACAAGGAATAGAAATCCATATATTTTTATTGCTGGCACATGGGATTGTTATGGCACTTGCATATTTATCCTGGACCCGTCTGCAGATGCGTGGCCACCTGAGAGAGCCAGGCTTCTGTGGAGAAGAGATGTGACAGTGCCGCCACAGTTGGAGAAAGTCCCAGGGGCTCAGAAGGCAATGGCCAGCAACAAGGAAGCTTCTGGAATGATTCCCAGAAGAGACCTGGAGGGAGCCAGCCTTGAAGTATAGAGAGGGTTTGAACAGTGAGGAGGGAGGGTAGAGGTGGGCGTGGGTGCGGGGCGGGTGGCACTGTAACACGCTAGCCATGTATCTGCTGGGCCCTTTGTGAGTGGAGATTTTTATCCCGGCTCCTCTTCATGGCAGCTGCCTGTCCGATACCATTGTTGTTCTTTTCTTTCTTTCTTTCTTTCTTTCTTTCTTTCTTTCTTTCTTTCTTTCTTTCTTTCTTTCTTTCTTTTTTTTTTTATTTTTTATTTTTTTTATTTTTTATTTTTTTTTTTTAATTTTACGAGACAGGGTTTCTCTGTGTAACTTTGCACCTTTCTGGAACTCACTCTGTAGCCCAGGCTGGCCTCGAACTCACAGAGATCCGCCTGCCTCTACCTCCCGCGTGTTGGGATTAAAGGCATGCACCACCGCCGCCGCCTGGCCTGTTGTTTTCTATAACAAGTGGGGAAACCGAGGCTCAGGGAGCTTAAGTCACCGGGGAGAGCTGGAGAGCCTAATAACATAGCCTCAGTCCTTCATGTGTCTCTCTGCGTGCGCGTGCAGTTTTATGGAGATGTAGTTCATCCATGTGACGTGAACCACCCGAGGCCGGGCATGTGGCTGAAAGCAGGCCGAGTGCTTGCCCGGCCTATGCAAAGCACTGGGTTCGATTTCCCCAACACTTTGTAAAACGGGATGTAATAAGGCACACCTGTATCCCCAGCCCTTAGGAGGTGGAGGCAGGAGGATCGGAGTCATCCTTGGCCACATGGTGACTCTGAGGCTGGCCTACGATGTGGCATGAGGCACTGAAGACGAAGGAAGGGAGGAGAGAGGAAATCCTGTTAGTGGTTTTCATCGTATCCAAGGAGGTATAAAATTGCTGCCACGGTCCAATTTTAGCACATTTTGCAGAAAGAGAAAACAAACCCGCCCCTTCCTCGTCACTCCCCTGCGCCTCTCCCCTGCAGCCCGGTGCACTCGGCAGCTGTCGCTTCCTGTCTGAGTGGATTTGCCTCTCCTGCGCATTTCACGTACATGGAGTCAGGCTGATGGGTGGTGCTGATGACCGGCTTCTTTGGCTCAGCACCGTGTCCCCCACCCCCACCCCAGCCCACAGGGTTTCTCTGTGTTGTTTTGGTGCCTGTCCTGGATCTCGCTCTATACACCAGACTGGCCTCGAACTCACAGAGATCCGCCTGGCTCTGCCTCCCGAGTGCTGGGATCAAAGTCGTGCGCCACCGCCGCCTGGCCAGCACCATGTTTTCGTGATTCTTCCATATTATGGTATTTCTCTGTGTGCATGTGTGTTGTTTCTTGGTTACCATCCATTTTTTTGCACCCCCCCCCCCCGTTTTTGAGATGGGGTCATTCCCTGGCCTTTAACTCAGGAGTAGGCTAGGTTGGTTGGCTGGTGAGTCCCAGGCTAAGCCTGTCTCTACCTCCCCAGAACCGGGATCATCCGCGCACACCACTGTCACCAGACTGCCTTTTTTTCCCCCCTCCCTGTGGGTTCTGGGGATCACATGCAGGCTCTTGTACCTGAGAGGCAAGCACTTTACCAACCACACCACCTCCCAACCTCTATGGCATTTTTTTCTTATTGCTGGGCAGTAGTGCTTTTTATGGGCAGGTCACCCATTTCTCAGTCTGTGGCCAGCCCAACCGTGTCATCCTGTTTTCAGGCCTTTGGAGCAAAGCTGCATGTCCCGTGTTTTCGGCCTGGAAACGCTGGCCTTCGTGTCTCCTGGGTATCTGTGTGGGAAGGGTGGCGGCCCTCGATCCTAAAATGACTTTGCGGTTAGCCCCCCCCCC